AGCCCCATGCTCCGTGCCACAAGTGGTAAGTGGACTGGCCAGTTCTGGGGGGGTGGTGTCCAAAGGGCCCAACCACCTGCAGTGGTAATATTCCTATTCATCTCCCCCTGGAGACTAATAAAAGTAGTCCATCTCTATTTATGATCACTCATGCTTCTTTGTGTTTGAGTGGAGTCTCACATTACTGAAAGTATTTTGTGTGTGTTTAATGGAACCCCAGAGAATACAAAGGAATACTTCAAAACCATTCAGCAGATCAGAGCCAATGGTTTGCCTCCATCTTTCATCTAGGGATGTACCATTCTAATATTTGTGATGACAATTCTCTATTCTGGGAGTTCTACCAGATAGACATTTCTCCCATATAAGCCACATTCCAGACCAGAACTTTCAGAATTGAAAATCATGGGGTTTGTAGTCCAATAATTCCAAACAGCATATCCTTACTATTGTCTCTATCAATCAACAGGCTTCCCCTTGCAGATACAAAGACTCACATGAACCTAAGGCACTCTGTTTAAATCTAGTGCATTATCATATTTCCACCATCCTTTCTGGGCCTCTGATTTTTCTTAAATGCTGATGACAGTATATCAGGTTATGGAGAACACACATGTAACTTAGGTAAACTGCAGTCATCATGCACAGCTGCTAGAATTAGGCATTATCAACACAGAAGTTAAAATCTAACTGCCATGATCAGCAGCAGCTGCATAATCTTTGATTTATATTCCAGTCTTCAAGCGCAGTCAGTATTTAGTATACATCTGTTGAAAAAAATGTGTTATGTATCATAGGTCAATATTTTAAATGCAGGGAATTCTGTATATCTAATTACAATGATTAATATTTACATCCGTGTTTCCCTGTTTAGGGACGTGGTGGTGCTGCGGGTTAAACCTCAGAAGCCTCTGTGCTGCAAGGTCAGAAGACCAGCAGTCGTAAGATCGAATCCATGTGACAGAGTGAGCTCCCGTCGCTTGTCCCAGCTCCTGCCAACCTAGCAATTCAAAAGCATGTTAAAATGCAGGTAGATAAATAGGTACCACCTCAGTGGTACTGTTAAAATGCAGTGTGTCTAGTCGCGCTGGCCACGTGACCACAGAAACTGTCTTCGGACAATCGCTGGCTCTATGGCTTGGAAACAGGGATGAGCACCGCCCCCTAGAGTCGAACACGACTGGACTAAATGTCAAGGGGAACCTTTACCTTTACTTTCCCTGTTTAGATCTAGGGTATTGTCATTTTTCCAGTATCCTTTTCAGGCCTCTGATCTTTCTCAAATGCTAATGACAGTGTATCAGCTTATCAAGCACATATATCTGACTAGGTAAACTGTAGTCATGTTGCACAGCTGCTAGAATCTGAGTTTTAAAAGCAAAACCATAATAACTCAAGCCTGATAAAGCAGCTACCGGCTAAAAATAAATCAGATGCTTTTTTCCTTCTTCTACAGGCCCAGATTATTGGCCATTTAAGGCAACATGTCACATGTGAAAATGTAGGTAGGATTCCTGTATTCCAGTTCTCTGAATTAGAGCATGCGAATCTGCATGTCAGGAATCCTCCACAAGTCATCTTACTTTTAGGAAAAATTACAGGAGAAAGTGAAGGCAAACTACAGAAATCAAGGTGTCACTTTCTTCAGAGGTAACAAAATTACCTAGTTTATTATAACTGGAAAACATCTTAGCCTCATATTCTGAAATATTCAGAGTTATCTGTAATAATAATTCCTAATATTCGGTTTCCCATTTACTCCTATAGATTAGAAAGCAGATTAGAAAGCAGAAGGCAAGGTTTCTGCTTGCTAGAGGAAGAAGTGAAAGTGAAATGTATTTCTCAGGCATCCTGGAGTGATTTCTTGAGAAATGAAGCTTAAAGACACTCTGGCACCAAGGATAGTGAGGGCGGAGAATTCAGTGTCTCATGCAAGGGAATAGCATTTTGCTATATATAGACAGATACATTAACAGATTTTTGTTTCTGTGTGTGAGATTTTCATTGGAATGGTTTATGTTCTGCTGTAGCAGAATCAGATGCCGTTTTTCTTTGGGTGGAATCTGCAGGCACTATGAAATGTGATGTAGGAGCAAGGCACTTGGAGAAGGTTGCAGGAATGCTGCCTGCACCCACTGCCGAAGCTTCTACTGGAAGATGTGAGAGAGGGAGAGGAAAAAGACAGCCTACAACTGCTATTATGCGGCCCTCCCATAAAACAAAAAAATAAACCCAAAATCTGTCACCTGGATGCCTTGTTCTGCACTGAGACTATGGAAGAGCTGCAGGCAGTCATACAGGGCGTATGTGTCTCTGTCAAGGATGTGGAAGAGAAGCCACAAGGTGGGTGTACAAGGTGGGGCAGATGGAATTGAACCTCAGACATGTTCCAGGGTGTCTGGATCTGGCCCGCACCACTCTGGAAGCTGCAGGATCAGGGCCAACCTGAGCCAGGAGTGGCCTGGTGTTTCTCCTGAGCTCCAGTGTTCCTGCTTCTGCTCCTGCCTTGGCCCCCAGCTCTTGCTGCTGCTTGCCCACTGCACCTCGGCACCTGGTTTCTGCTCCGTGTTCTCAGCCTTGTGTTCCTGCCTCTGCTTGGTCACGACCAACCGCACAGTGAGTGCCGTGGGACTTGATACTCTGTGTGGTAGGACTGGGTCCTGGTGCCCTTGCCCCTGGTGCAGGACTGCTTGGGATATCTTGGACTGTGACACAGGGACATCTTTGTGCAATCCAGCCAGGGCAAGGGGGCAAAAAAGACGATAAAAAAGGGCACTTTTCTCCTAAAGAGCTGATGTGCCAGAGAAGGATGAGGTGAACATGCAGTCAAAGGCCAGATTTTCCAAGAAATCAGTAATCTGGAAGCATTTTCAACAGTGTGCAACAGATGCTCATAGGGCTGAATGCATGCCCTGCAAGAAGGTGCTCAAGCATGGGCAGGATTCGGGCGACCTCTCGAGCAGTCTCACGCTTAGCTACATGAAGACTAAGCACAGAGCAAATTAAGTGGGTAGTGTGGGGGCAAGTGGCTTCCTTATTCTGGAGAGTAAGAAACATCAGATGGCAGCTGTGGAACCACCAGCCCAGGTAAGCAGAGAGGTAGTTGGGCAAATAACAAGGGGTGGGGGCGGCAAATGGCAGGCCCATATCTCAGTAATAAGTTCAAGGCTATCCTGAAGGAGATTCAGGGAAAGGCCCTTTCAAATGTAAAAATGTCAGGATTACAGTATTTGTTACCTAGGGGAGGTGATAGCCCTTCACAAGTCCCCCCAACCCCGGTGAAGAACAATACTGGTTTCCATAGGTTTGTGGCAGGACTTGCAACAGGTTTGTGGCAGGACTTGCAACAGCTACCTTATATGTCATTTTGCAATTGACATCTAAGGTAGCTAAGGTGGAAAACATGCCTGTCTCTCCCAGGTGGGAGGTAGAAGCACCAGGCATAGGGCAACAAACACGATGGCATGGGGAGACGAAGGGAGTACAGTGTATGATCCACAGTCTCAACCTAGTAGTTTGGGGTGCTTTGCAGGGTAGGGAAGATGCACGCACACCTAATATAAGTGAGTAGGCCAGAAAACTGGTAGGGCATTTCCACCAGTGTTTGTGGAAGTGAGCAGATGCAGCAGAGGCAAAGCAATAAACAAAAGTGGGATTGCCACTGAACCACCTAATTCAGGATGTGGCAATGAAGTGGAATTCCACTTTCTACCTGATTAAAGATGTGTTTTGTTTGCTCTCTCTCTCTCTCTCTCTCTCTCTTCCTCTCTTGACTTGAGCAGATATGTAAACTCTGCTCCTGACCTCTGAACCTGGATTTCAGTCTCCCAAGAATGGTTATGGTTAAAACACTGTACTGCAGCTAAAACTGTGCTCATGACCTGGGGTTCAAATCCCAGGTAGCCGGCTCAGGGTTGACTCAGCCTTCCATCCTTCCGTGGTCGGTAAAATGAGTACCCAGCTTGCTGGGGGGGCAATGTGTAGCCTGTATAATTAAATTCTAAACCACCCGGAGAGTGCTTGTAGCGCTATGGGGCGGTATATAAGTCCAATAAATAAATAAGAATGGTTAGGCTGCAGTTTTTTTCTTTATTCTTTTATTCTTCTGATTGTACTGATGTTCCATATCTGTAAGCAAAGGTCTTTTTCTTTTTCTACTTATGCTACTTGTGGAATGATTTTTATATACAAAGGGTTAGTCACTGTGAGGACAAGAGGGGCTCGGTGGAAGCTGGGACTTTTAGCTATTCTTGTTCATATTCTCCTGTGCTGCATCTGCCTTCTGCATTTTATGCTCTATTAACTAAAAGAAATTAAACAAAAATTCCTCCAGCAACATATACCTGTCTGGACATTCTCTTTGTACTGATGTTCCATAGCTGTAAGCAAAGGTCTTCTTCTCTTTCTACTTATGCTACTTGTGGAATGATTTTTATATACAAAGGGTTAGTCACTGTGAGGACAAGAGGGGCTCGGTGGAAGCTGGGACTTTTAGCTATTCTTGTTCATATTCTCCTGTGCTGCAGCTGCCTTTTGCATTTTATGCTCTGTTAACTAAAAGGAATTAAACAAAAATTCCTCCAGCAACATATACCTGTCTGGACATTCTCTTAGTGTTTGTGATTTCCATTCCTTGAGCTCAATTGCTGCATATCTTTAGTTATAGGTCCACCCAGAGTTAAAATACTTTTAACTCCATGAATGCTGGGTGGAACATGAAGGATTTTTGAGGATGCTGCCCCACATGGTGTGTAATCAGAGGTTCTTTGCCCCATCCTATAGTTACCCTGGGATCACTCAAATGACCTGATTCAGTCTTAATTTTCATATTTGTGCAAAGACAGTGTTCATCCCTATTTTTTAGAAGGAAGTTACATGAAGAACATCTGTATAGCATCAATGGGAAAAACAGAACAGTATAACCTTTTGTGCATTCTATTGACATTCTTTAAAACAGTATTTGGAATATACGGTAATTTATAAGAGAAGGCAATACTTACATTATCATTACATCCCTTGTTGTCCTCATATTTTGTCTCTATGTGAATGGAGAATTTAGGCAAAAATGAGCACTGCAAAGAAAATAAAACTTATCAGAAAGATTATTTCTATTAATTGCTTCAGCAGTTTATCTGCCTATTACCATCAGTCAAATAAAACACTTCTGTTAGCATAGGAAGCCGTTCCTTAGTCTTAATCTATATAGCCAAAACGAAGCTTTGGGACTAACCATTTCAGAGTATGATGGCATGGGTGGGAAGAAACAGAATATTTACAGCTAGGAAACTGATTCACATTTAGAGCTATCTGCCTCTCATCTTGGGCAATCAGCCTAACCATTTAAGGTGAAGAAATGGTTCTAAAAGTCAGAGGGAAAGCCCAAGAAAAAAATTCCACAGGTTTCTTCAGCATCAAAACTTCTGACTAGAAATGTTCAGGCTTCAGAATGTTATCACAGCAGGCAATGTTTCCCCAGCTTGGAACACATCTTTTCTCAGAGAAAAGCAGCTGCAGAGTTTTGGTTACACATCCTTTCTTGTAAAGCTCTGTCACCCAATACTGTGTCTGTTTTGCCCTTTAATTATATTTCTGATGCTTCCATCTCTCCAAAACCTCAATCTCTCATCCTTGACTTTGGGAGGAAAATCTGGAATGCAAAAGAGGAGGAAGCAGGCAAGAAAAGGTTGAGGAGCTTTGTGGCACGGTGGTTAAACCTCTGCTAACAACCCAGATTCCATCCTAGGTAGCCACTCAGCCTTCCATCCTTCCAAGGTTGGTAAAAGGAGTACCCAGCTTGCTGTTTTAAGTTTGTTTGTTTTACCCTTTTGACGCATACTACATCTCTATTTCAAATAATTCAAGACACAGTTCTTGTCATATAGTTCCAGAAGCTTTTGCATTAACCAAACCTGCTCAGTGTGCAGCAAGCAGATTGACAGTAAATTGATCAAAATTTGTCAAACAACTTCTTATTACTACTATGCAGACCTCCACCCCAATGCACTTTTCAGAGCAAAAAAGCTCACGAAGCAAGTTAGAGCATAATCCAAAATAAAGACATACTGCTGAAATTTTGAACACGACAAGTAGAAAACAGAAGTGTTGCTGAAATACAACTTTGATGGGGTGGAACACAGCTTAGTGGCAGAGGACCTGCTTGACAAGAAGAAAGTTTAGCATTCAATCTCTGGCCTGTTCAATTATTCCCCCCCTTTGTTTTGTTTTTAAAGATGAAATGGCAGATAACAGCAAGGACCACCTGCCAAATACCCTGGACTCTGCTGCCACTCACAGTAGACAACTGCAGTTAGATGGGGAAATGGTCTCAGTGAGTATAGCAAGCAGCTTCCTATGTTCCAGAGAGCCTTTCATGATAAACATGGGTTGAATCCCATCGTTTCTTGGAGCCGAGTGCCCCCACCAGTGGGAAGGTGATGCTCCTTCATGACTTCCTTCTCCCGCCGCTCCTAGCACTAGCTCTCAGGATGTTCTGGGGCGTCTCCCAATGCTCCAGAGTGGATTGTCACAAATGAAACTACAGGGTGTGGAAGCAATGAGCCAATAGTGCCTCCTCTCCTGTTCCATTACAAGAAATGCTCTCCTGGACTAGAAAGCCTTTGGCGGATGCCAGAGACAGTCCATCTACTGACAGGAAGGAGATACGGCACCAAGCGTTTTGTCCTTATAATACTGTGTGGACTCTCCTTCCTCAGGGGTTTCAAAAGAATATTAAATTCTTGCTTCAGAATGCAAATAGGAAAAAAAGCCTTATTCTCTATAGTCTTGTTTAGCATGGAGCTTGAGGAGGGCTATTCCAGTTAGAGCACAATTACCTCCCCACCTGCTGCTTTGTCTGTGTTGTTCTTGCAAGAATGCTGAGCATAGTCCAGATTTCATTTCTAAAACCTACTTCTCCAATATTAAGCTTCTTTTCAGAAGGTTTTTTTCTAAAATACTGAAGAAATATGAAGAAACCCACTCCCTCATTGGAGCTTTTCTTCTAGAAATATGTGTTTAAAGCTATCTGACAGCCTGATGGAAAGCTTCTTATCAGGGGACCTGACTGTGGAAATGAACCTCTATCTGGAAGCCCCCCTAGGATGAAATTCCACTCTGGAAGAACCCAAAAATAAAATATTTTTTTTAATAATGCCTCAAGACAGGACAAGCAACCTTGGGAGAGTCTGCGATTTTGTCACCATCAAACTGAGACGAGCCTTGTTTCATGAGGATGGCAGGAAAAATAGCAACAACCTCTGTTACAAACCAGGTATAATACTGCACAGAGAAAAAAATTGTCTACCTGGAAAAGTTCAAAAATACACGTGTCCTCTGAATTGCATGGGTTTGAGCAGCATGGTTATGGTTATACACAATACCCTGTGCCCCTAGCTACCTATAACTCCATGAATTCAACATTGAAAGTGGTCTACTTGCCCTCAAACACAAAATCTCCCATTCAGCCTTTAGATCAGGGGATCACATGGACCTCTAAGGCTCATTACAAACAGTACTCTATGGTAAGGATTGTCAACACTATGGAAGAGAATGCCGATCAAGATAACGGTTCTGTATCAGTGTGAAGATGTCAAGAAGAGGTGGCAAGAATACACAGAGGAATTATATCAGAAAGATTTGGATATCCCGGACAACCCAGACAATGTAGTTGCTGACCTTGAGCCAGACATCCTGGAGACTGAAGTCAAGTGGGCCTTAGAAAGCCTGGCTAACAACAAGGCCAGTGGAGGTGATGGCATTCCAGCTGAACTATTTAAAATCTTGAAAGATGATGCTGTTAAGGTGCTACATTCAATATGCCAGCAAGTTTGGAAAACACAACAGTGGCCAGAGGATTGGAAAAGATCAGTCTACATCCCAATCCCAAAGAAAGGCAGTGCCAAAGAATGCTCCAACTACCGGACAATTGCACTCATTTCACACGCTAGCAAGGTTATGCTCAAAATCCTCCAAGATAGGCTTCAGCAGTATGTGGACCAAGAACTCCCAGAAGTACAAGCTGGATTCCGAAGAGGCAGAGGAACTAGAGACCAAATTGCTAACATGCACTGGATTATGGAGAAAGCCAGAGAGTTCCAGAAAAATATCTACTTCTGCTTCATTGACTATGCAAAAGCCTTTGACTGTGTGGACCACAGCAAACTGTGGCAAGTTCTTAAAGAAATGGGAGTGCCTGACCACCTTATCTGTCTCCTGAGAAACCTATATGTGGTACAGGAAGCAACAGTTAGAACTGGTCATGGAACAACTGATTGGTTCAAAATTGGGAAAGGAGTACGACAAGGCTGTATATTGTCTCCCTGCTTATTTAATTTATATGCAGAATACATCATGCGGAAGGCTGGACTGGA